ACAAATGTTCACAATGGCTTTATTTGTAGTAACCAACCTTAGAAACAATCCTAAAACATTACTTTAATAGGAGAATAAATGATGAAGCTGCATTATATCCATACAAGGAATACGACTCGAACCATGCAAATGAAACAAACCATGAGGCAACTTAAGAGGTGAAATTGAACTACCATATATGGAATAAAATAAGCCAGATTCAAAGACGAACAAACAATAGAACTTCTAGAAAAGGTAAAACTGAGTTAGAGTTTTCTAGTCTGTTTTGTGCGACTGTTATAACAGAATACCCTGAGAGTGGTTTTATTTATAAAGAAAAATAAGATTTCTGCTGAGTGCTGGTGCTCATCATTTGTAATTCCTAGTACCTCAGGAGGCAGAGAGATCAGGAGGGTACCGTTTAAGAAGCCCAGGGAAATAGTTTGTTGAGACCTATCTCAAAAAAACCTTTCAACAAAAAAGGGCTGGGAGAAGTGGCTCAAAGTGGTAGGCCCTGAGTTTCAAGCTGCAGTACCCACAGGGGAGTAGAAAAAAAAAATAGAAGTTCTTTCTTGTGGTTTCGAGGTTAAGAAACCCAAGGTTAAGAGGACCAGCACCTGGTGAGGGCCTTCTTACTGTATCATGACATGGCAAAAGGCAGAACGGAAAAGAAAATACCACACAAGAACTCAAGAGACCAAAGTAAGTCTCTAGCACACAAACTTTGGAGGATACATTCAATCAGAGCAGAGACAGAAAATAGATCAGTGGTTGGACAAGTAGTTTGATCAAGGAATGCAGTAGAAAACTCTGGGAGGTAATGGAACTATTGTGTTTTGATTGTTTTTGGTTACACTACAGAAAAAATTGTACAGTAATAAGGTAATTTATATAATGTAAGTTATATCTTAATTTTTAACATTTATATAACTATATGTAACTTTTATATAATTTTAATAATTTTTTGTGGTACTGGGGATTTGAGCTCTACCATTTGAGCTATTCCCTAGTTCTTTCGTTTGTATTTTTGTTGTTGAGATAGGGTCTTGCTAACTTCACCTGCGCTGGCCTCAAACTCACGATGTTCCACCTCCACCTTCAGAGTAGCTGCCACCATGCTCAGCTCTATTATTTAAATTTTTTATTTAGTTTTTTAAAATGAGTATGAAAAAGCCAAATTCTGAAAAGCAGCAATAGCTATTTAATAGTGGAAGTTAATCACTATATTAGCCAATACAGTCAATACTTGGTACCCTTCAAATATACAGAAAGGAGAGGATATTAGATCTTTTTATGAAATTACTGTTTATCCCTGTACAATGAGCACAGGACAGATTCTGCCCCTCCCTCAGATTAGATTACCATTCTCTATTTCCTTGTAGATGGTACTGAGAATTTAGATGGCTGACTATGTGGACTTTTTCCCTGAAGACTGATTTTGCAGGTCTGCTTTCTCAACAGCTCCCCAGGTGACTCTGCTGTACGGTTAGCACCACCCATAGGGTATAGCTTGGTGCCAAGGAGTAGGTCACACATGGTCCAGCTCTCTATGGCAAAACTCAGGATAACTTTGGGGGCCCAAGCCAGAGTCATAATTTCTCCCTTATTGGATAGGGCTATTCTGTTAATCACAAAGAAAAGAAAAGGAGGGAGAGAAAAAGGGCCAGTAACAGGGACTAACATTATGGTCCCTGTTATACAGTATTAATATAATACAGGGTTATGAGAATTATAGCCATGTAACTGATGAGATAACTCTTATCTGAGACTCACAGATTTTGTTTTCTGTTTGTTTTGTAGTACTGGGATTTGAACTCAGGGTCTTGTGCTTGCTAGGTAAGTGCTCTACCACTTGAGCCATGCTCCAAGCCCTTTTGATTTTAGATGTATTTTTAAATAGGATCTTTCATTTATGCCACAGGCTGGCCTGAACCACATTCCTCCTTTTTACACTTCCCATGCAGCTAGGATGTCAAGCGCAAGCATCACTACCAGCTTTTGTGTTGGTTGATATGAGTGTCTTGCTAACTTTGGCCCAGGCTGGCTTTGAACCCAGATCTTCTCAATCTCTACCCTCAAGTACTTAGTGTAATAGGCCTGAATCACCACACCCAGACTCGCAAAGTTTGTGTCTTGCCTAAAAAAGAAAAATAAGAAATAAACACACACATGTATAAAGAAATATCCACCAGGAGAAGGTATAATCATACTATTCTGTTCCATTCTCTCATATCAACCTCTCATGAGCATTATTTCCAAGTAACCATCTTATTTACCACTGGAAATACATTGACTCTGTTAAAAACAATTTCCCCAAACTGGTTAGCAGTCTGCAAAAAACTGAAACTAGATCCATGTATATCACCCTATACCATATTAACTCAAAATGGATCAAGGATCTTAATATCAGACCACAAACTCTAAAGTTGATACAGGAAAGAGTAGGAAATACTCTGGAGTTAGTAGGTATAGGTAAGAAGCTTTCTCAACGAAACCCCAGCAGCACAGCAACTAAGAGACAGCATAGACTAAAGCTTCTGTTCATCAAAAGAAATGGTCTTAAACTGAAGAGAACACCCACAGAGTGGGAGAAAATATTTGCCAGCTATACATCAGACAAGGACTGATAACCAGAATATATAGAGAACTTAAAAAACTAAATTCTCCCAAAACTAATGAACCAATAAAGAAATGGGCAAGTGAACTAAACAGAACTTTCTCAAAAGAAGAAATTCAAATGGCCAAAAAACACATGAAAAAATGCTCACCATCTCTAGCAATAAAGGAAATGCAAATTAAAACCACCTAAGATTCCACCTCACCCCTGTTAGAATAGCCATTCTAGCAACACCACCACAACAGGTGTTGGTGAGGATGCAGGGAAAAAGGAACCCTCTTACACTGTTGGTGGGAATGTAAACTAGTACAACCACTCTGGAAAAAAATTTGGAGGCTACTTAAAAAGCTAAACATTGATCTACCATTTGATCCAGCAATACCACTCTTGGGGATATACCCAAAAGACTGTGACACAGGTTACTCCAGAGGCACCTGCACACCCATGTTTATTGCGGCACTATTCACAATAGCCAAGTTATGGAAACAGCCAAGATGCCCCACCACTGACGAATGGATTAAGAAAATGTGGTATCTATACACAATGGAATTTATGCAGCCATGAAGAAGAACGAAATGTTATCATTGCTGGTAAATGGATGGAATTGGAGAACATCATTCTGAGTGAGGTTAGCCTGGCCCAAAAGACCAAAAATCATATGTTCTCCCTCATATGTGGACATTAGATCAAGGGCAAACACAACAAGGGGATTGGACTTTGAGCACATGATAAAAGCGAGAGCACACAAGGGAGGGGTGAGGATAGGTAAGACACCTAAAAAATTAGCTAGCATTTGTTGCCCTTAATGCAGAGAAACTAAAGCAGATACCTTAAAAGCAACTGAGGCCAATAGGAAAAGGGGACCAGGAACTAGAGAAAAGGTTAGATCAAAAAGAATTAACCTAGAAGGTAACACACATGCACAGGAAATTAATGTGAGTCAACTCCCTGTATAGCTATCCTTATCTCAACCAGCAAAAACCCTTGTTCCTTCCTATTATTGCTTATACTCTCTCTTCAACAAAATTAGAAATAAGGGCAAAATAGTTTCTGCTGGGTATTGAGGGGGGGGAGAGGAGGGGGCGGAGTGGGTGGTAAGGGAGGGGTGGGGGCAGGGGGGAGAAATGACCAAGCCTTGTATGCACATATGAATAATAAAACAATAAAAAAATGAAAAAAAAAAAAAAACAATTTCCCCAAAGCATATTTCTTATACTTACTTTGAAAAGAAAGCTCTCAGCGTGGTAATGGATGGTATGTATATCTACTTCACTTCCTATTCCTAACAAATACCAGTTTGTCATTGTATCTTCATTCATTATGAGGCCATGGAAATTTCCAAAAATCTTCCCATTAATGGCTAAGAAAATGAAAAGACAATAGCTTCTGATCAATGCAAACATACTTACTACTTAACCTGGTTTTAGAACTAGCTCAAGATCATTAGTTCACAGGAATTCTTTTCTACCTGATAAATAACTAACAGCCTCACTAACTAATGACCCCCATTTTAGATTCTCAACTCAGATTACTAAGAAATCTTTGTACAAAGAAAGCCAGAAAAGAGAAATCAGTTTGTTTTTCAAAGCTATATGTTAGATGGCAGTACTGTTTGCTTACTTGTTTATTCAGTATATCCTTTTTGGAAGTGAATTATAGGCTCATTTGTGAGAAGCCAAACTTATACCATTCTTCAAATGAGTGTACTAAGCTACAAAGAATACAGCATATATAAATCAACATTGAATTAATTATAAGTCATTTCTTTAATGTTTCCTCTTCTGAGAACTAGCATAAGCCTGGCGAACCTCCAAAAGGAGAGCTTCCCACAGACTGAACCCAGGACCTAACAATGAGCAAAGCTGAGTTTTTGCAATGGTGAATATTATTCCTCTGCATCCTACTAATGCTTTATTCTGTGAATCCATGACATAGCCAAATAAGTTGCATTCATTAAAAGGAGAGAAAATACTAAGATATTTTTGAGAAAGTAAAGCAAAATTCTAGGGAAAAGAGTAGCTGAATTGGGAATCAGGCCACAGTATTTTAACTTGTATTAACAACTAGCTTTGAGACATTGGGCATGGCCCATCTTCAAAAGCAGGTCTTAGAGTACGTGGAAGTATCGATCTGAACACATTATTCCTACCAAAATAAATTTCTTAAATGATACAGAATTAATTAGCAGATACATTAAAACAAAAATTCAGTGTTGGAGTTTCATGTTCTAGAAAATTAAATCAAATTTTTAAATTTAACCAAACAAAAGTTGTAATGGTTCATATAACACTTATTTTTATATTTTGTATTAAACATTACAACTTCTGTTTGTTTTGTTTTTAAAAATTACTTCTTCATAGCTTAAAGATCTTAGCATTCTGAGATAGATACTCCTAAAGACAGTCAGTACAAAGCCTCAATAACTTCGCTGTCAGACAACCCAGGACTAGGCTGGTTCACTCTGAAAAAAATCTTTAGAGGACTTTCTTCAGTTCAGGTGCCCTTAAGAGGGAAAGGCCCAGAGAGGGAGGTGGGGGGGGGTCTCCTACAGTGATAGGAATTTCTATGACCCTGGTCTTCCTTTGAATGTCTGATGTACCATGCATTTTGTTGCTCTCTTCAAAATCATCAGTGTGTTTAAAATCTCGTGGATCTTTATTGAGATACTTCTTAATATTATCATCCAGATACCAGGATTCATTCTCATTAAATACCAAAAACAAAAGAGCAAACTCATAGTCAGCATCACTTCTTCTTCCCTTTTCATTCAATACTCCTTCTCGGCATGTAATCAGAGGACCCATCAAACCACTATATGTATCCTGGAATTAAAAAATAGATAAACCATTCAATATTTAATAATATTCCATTCCATCTGCTACCATTCTAGAAATATTTAATAATGTTAAATATTAGAATCTAGAAATATTTAATAATATTCCGTTCCATCTGCCATCATTCTAGTATTAGAATCTAGAAATTGTTTCCTCTCTGGTCTCTAGCCCACCCCACCTTCAGCTCATCCTACTAACACTATCAGATTAATCTAGTCGCTCCCATAATTAGAAGTCCTCAGGGACTTCCATGGCTACAGAATAAAATATAATCCTTCAAGCCCCTCCATGTGCTTCCTCAATGAAATTTCTGTCTTGGTTGCCCTGCTGCTTTCTTTTTGGGTCATATATGATAGTCAAATGGGACTCTCAATACTTCTCAAACACAGCTTCAGCTTTTGTACTTTCAGTTTTACTATATCATTTTTTTTTCTCCCTAGACTCTGTCCAAAGCCTCCCATGGTACCATCCATAATCCACCACTCCTACAGAAGTGTGGACATGTTTGATTTTCCCCACAAAGTCATGTGCTTCTTCCAAAGAAGAATATTTGCATCTGGTATAGTGTTTGGCAGCATAATTTGCATGTCACAAGTACTCAATAAATATTTGTCTGGATGTACAAATGAATAAACAATAAGTATGTGTCCCATAATTCTAATTTGTAAATTTATTTTTCAAGTAACTTATATGACTGTCTCCTAAGCTCCAGTGCTGTGCAGTATAACTCAAGGTCACTAATTCAAGCCATGTAACACCATGTAACATCCAAGAGAAAGATTAAGATAGTCCCTCACTTGTTAAATAATGGGAAGTGCCTACGTTTTATATCAGGTCTGATTTTAATTAGGACTTTGGTTTATGACATAGCATTAAAGACTTGTAGTTGCTTTATATATACATACCTGACTCATTTATCAGCCTATTAATCATTCAAATATTTTTGAAGTTTCAGTTACTATGGCTGGAGTATGTTTTCTTTCCCTGATCCCTAGTAGCCCTGGTAACACCTTTAAAAATAATAGATTTCCCACATCTAAAACCATAAACAAATTATATTGTAAAATACTTTTTTTCTATTGACATATCCTCTTTTGCTTCAAACTGCCTCATAAGATCCACTCTTGGAAACTGAATGGAGCTTTGTTTTCATTTCCCATACTTTAAATCAGTGTTTAGCAAACTTTAAAATCTGTTTATAAAGCACTATATGGCAAATATTTTTACTTCATGAGCTATACTATCTCTGTCACAACTACAGACAACATTAATGAATGAGCATGGTTGGATTTGGGAAGTGGGCTACAGTTTGTGACCACTTCTCTAAATCATACACTCTTCTAAAATGCCCTCCAGAACTACTTCCTGACAGAACTACTTCACAGACACTAAGAAGTCTCCAGGACTGGAGGCTGAAGGACTAACACCAAAATTATTAAGACTGAACTTTACTGTGTTTGAACTTGTGGTTTCTTTGTCTTTTCTTTTTCATTATCCTCTCTCTCTGTCTCTCTAAAGCCTGTTTAGCTTACTGTTGATTAGTATACTATCTCTCCCTGTTTATTTCTTTGGCTCTGTTTTTTCTTTGTTTGGTTGGTTGGTTTGGGGTTTTTTTGTTTGTTTTGTTTTGTTTTGTTTTTCCCTTTTTCTTTACCTTCTTTGCTTTCCCTCTCCTCTCACCCTTCCATTTTAGATATCACCATTGTTATTATTACAAGCTAGACAATACTGAATTACACACAGTATAGGAACAGTAAAAATGGCAAGGGCAATGATGGGAAGACGGAAAAAGGGGGAAATCATTTTCCCCAACAATAATAAATTAGTACAGGAACCAGAGGGAAATGAAGAAATCAGATACCCATTGATGAAATAAAAAAGGAAATTAAAAGGTTCCTGGAACTCAATGAAACTGAAAACACAACCTACCGGAACCTATGGAACAGGGGAAAGGCAGTCCTAAGAGGAAAGTTTATAGCCATGAGTGCATATATTAAAAAGACTGAAAGATCTCAAATCAATGACTTAATACTACATCTCAATCTCCTAGAAAAACAAGAACAAGCAAACCCCAAAATAAATAAGAGCTGAAATCAATGAAATAGAAAGAATTAATAAAACAAAAAGTTGGTTCTTTGAAAAAATAAACAAGATCAATAGACTCCTGGCAAACCTGACTAAAGTGAGGAAAAAAAATACGCAAATCAGTAAAATCAGGAATGCAAAAGGGGACATAACAATAAACACTATGGAAGTCCAGGAAATCATCAGAGACTACTTCGAGAACCTATATTCAAATAAATTTGAAAATCTTGAAGAAATGGACATATTTCTAGATACTTATAATCATCTAAAACTGAACCAAGAGGACATTAATCACCTGAATAGATCTATAACACAAAACAAAATTGAAGCAGCAATCAAGAGTCTCCCAAAAAAGAAAAGTCCAGGACCTGATGGATTCTCTGCTGAATTCTATCAGATCTTTAAGGGAGAACTAATACCAACCTCCTTAACTGTTCCACAAAATAAAAAGGGAAGGTAAACTGACTAACACATTTTATGAAGCCAGTATTATACTCATCCCCAAACCAGAAAAAGACACCTCTAAAAAGAACTATAGGGCAATCTCCTTAATGAACGTTGATGCAAAAATCCTTAATAAAATAATGGCAAACCAATTCAACAACACATCAAAAAGATCATTCACCACGACCAAGTAGGCTTCATCCCAGGAACACAGGGGTGGTTCAACATACGAAAATCAATAAATGTAATAAACCACATTAACAGAAGCAAGACAAAAACCACTTGATCATCTCAATACATGCAGAGAAAGCCTTTGAGAAGATCCAACACCATTTCATGATAAAAGCTCTAGGAAAACTAGGAATAGAAGGAAAGTACCTCAACATTATAAAAGCTATATAAGACAAACCTACAGCCAGCATTATACTTAATGGAGAAAAACCTAAATCATTCCCTCTAAAGTCAGGAACCAGACAAGGATGCCCACTATCTCCACTCCTATTCAACATAGTACTGGAATTCCTAGCCAGAGCAATTAGGCAAGAAGAAGGAATAAAAGGAATACAAATAGGTAAAGAAACTGTCAAAATATCCCTATTTGTAGACGACATGATCCTATACCTTAAAGACCCAAAAACTCTACTCAGAAGCTTCTAGACATCATCAATAGCTACAGCAAGGTAGCAGGATATAAAATCAACATAGAAAAATCATTAGCATTTCTATACACTAACAATGAGCAAACTGAAAAAGAATGAATGAAAACAATTCCATTTACAATAGCCTCAAAAAAAATCAAATACCTAGGTGTAAACCTAACAAAAGATGTGAAAGACCTCTACAAGGAAAACTATACACTTCTGAAGAAAGAGACTGAGGAAGACTATAGAAAGTGGAGAGATCTCCCATGCTCATGGATTGGTACAATCAACATAGTAAAAATGTCAATACTCCCAAAAGTAATCTACATGTTTAATGCAATTCCCATCAAAATTCCAATGACATTCATTAAGGCGACTGAAAAATCTACCGTTAAATTTATATGGAAACACAAGAGGCCACGAATAGCCAAGGCAATAGTCAGTCAAAAGAACAATGCAGGAGGTATCACAATACCTGACTTCAAACTATTTTACAAAGCAGTAACAATAAAAACAGCATGGTATTGGCACAAAAACAGACATGAAGACCAGTGGAACAGAATAGAGGACCCAGATATGAAGCCACACAACTAATAACCAACTTGTCTTTGACAAAGGAGCTAAAAATATACGATGGAGAAATAGCAGCCTCTTCAACAAAAACTGCTGGGAAAACTGGTTAGCAGTCTGCAAAAAACTGAAACTAGATCCATGTATATCACCCTATACCAAGATTAACTCAAAATGGATCAAGGATCTTAATATCAGACCACAAACTCTAAAGTTGACACAGGAAAGAGTAGGAAATACTCTGGAGTTAGTAGGTATAGGCAAGAACTTTCTCAACGAAACCCCAGCAGCACAGCAACTAAGAGATAGCATAGATAAATGGGACCTCATAAAACTAAAAAAGCTTCTGTTCATCAAAAGAAATGGTCTCTAAACTGAAGAGAACACCCACAGAGTGGGAGAAAATATTTGCCAGCTATACATCAGACAAAGGACTGATAACCAGACTATATAGGGAACTTAAAAAACTAAATTCTCCCAAAACTAATGAACAAATAAAGAAATGGGAAAGTGAACTAAACAGAACTTTCTCAAAAAAAGAAATTCAAATGTCCAAAAAACACATGAAAAAATGCTCATCATCTCTAGCAATAAAGGAAATGCAAATTAAAACAACATAAGATTCCACCTCACCCATTAAAATAGCCATCATTAGCAACACCACCACCAACAGTAGGATGCGGGGAAAAAGGAACCCTCTTACACTGTTGGTGGGAATATCAACTAGTATAACCACTCTGGAAAAAAATTTGGAGGCTACATAAAAAGGTAGACATTGATCTACCATTTGATCCAGAAATACCACTCTTGGGGATATACCCAAAAGACTGACACAGGTTACTCCAGAGACACCTGCACACCCATGTTTACTGCAGCACTATTTACAATACCCAAGTTATGGAAACAGCCAAGATGCCCCAGCACTGACGAATGGATCAAGAAAATGTGGTATCTATACACAATGGAATTTTATGCAGCCATGAAGAAGAACGAAATGTTATCATTCGCTGGTAAATGGATGGAATTGGAGAACATCATTCTGAGTGAGGTTAGCCTGGCCCAAAAGACCAAAAATCGTATGTTCTCCCTCATATGTGGACATTAGATCAAGGGCAAACACAACAATTGGACTGGACTTTGAGCACATGATAAAAGCGAGAGCACACAAGGGAGGGGTGAGGATAGGTAAGACTCCTAAAAATTTAGCTAACATTTGTTGCCCTTAACGCAGAGAAACTACAGCAGATACCTTAAAAGCAACTGAGGCCAAGAGGAAAAGGGGACCAGAAACTAGAGAAAAGGTGAGATCAAAAGGAATTAACCTAGAAGGTAACACGCACGCACAGGAAATTAATTTGAGTTAACTCCCTGTACAGCTATCCTTATCTCAACCAGCAAAAACCCTTGTTCCTTCCTATTATGGCTTATACTCTCTCTACAACAAAATTAGAAATAAGGGCAAAATAGTTTCTGCTGGGTATTGAGGGGGTGGGGGGAGAGGAAAGGGGGCGGAGTGGGTGATAAGGGAGGGGGTGGGGGCAGGGGGGAGAAATGACCCAAGCCTTGTATGCACGTATGAATAATAAAATTTTTTTAAAAAGTTCAATTGCCAATCAAACAAGATTCAAAAGTATTAAAGGACTTTTCAATTGAAACCCAGTTCATCCCAATCCTCAACCCATTGCTCTGTGCAAGTCCTCATTCCCTATGCAAATGCTCCACTCAATCATTCTGACCTGAACAATCTCTCTGATATAACAAGAGCTTTGCATTAACCCCTGCATCCAATATTTCACTCTCTTTACTATTCACTTACATAAATTTTGTCACTCTTGAAGATTCTGCTTCAATTCCTCTTCCCTTGCTATCTTTGCTATCTCTGAACCCAGAGAATTCACTGACTCTTACTCATAACTTGTAAAGTTATTTCTCTCTCCTGTGCAGTTAATTTCTCTGCATAAGGGCAGGAACAATGTCCTAGACATCCTTGTATCCCTCATGCTTGCTAATGCATTCTGTTTTCATATATCACATTAAATATCAGTTGAATATAGTCTAATCTTTTATATTTCAGAAGGCACTTCAGAATTCTAGAAGGCATCATTTTAAAATCTAGTTCTCACACTGACCAATAATGAAAGTTGACTTCAAAGAGATTTTCATATATGGTTCCCACAAGTTCTCTAGGAAAGGTTCAAGTGCTTTACTTTGGTGGAAGAATGTATGTATGTATGTATATAAGAAATGAAGAACGTATGAAATGAAGAAACTAAGTGTGTCTTATTGTTGATCACAAATACAATTTAGAAAGGATCCTGGGAAAAGAGTGATCATTTTTAGTATCCCATTGTTTCATGCACTCAAAGACATCATGGTATGTGATTACTTAAACAACAACATTACACTCATCAGAACAGGGCCCAGAATACCAGTGAGGTCACAGGGAAAGTCAACAGCATGCCTCTCTAGAAAGGGGCTGAGAAAGACCAGGGTGCTTACCTGCGAGAGGCATTTAGGGGAAGACCGCTGAATTTATCATAACCTAGAGGGCCATAATCCCAAAGAATTTTTTCAGCTGCTATAAAGTAGCGCCTCTGCTGCCCATTCATCTTGGGGTGAAGAATGTCACTTTTGCAGTTACCAACATTGTATTGCCCCAGCATGCCAGCTGCAGAACCACAAACCAGGGAGTAAATGAAACCACACAGGAAAAAATCAACAGATTTGTCTTCATGAACATTTAAGACTTTTATACAGAAAATTGTCTATAACAAAGTTAAAAACAAAAGATCAGCTGTGGGGAGGAAGAAATTTTGTAGCATATATGACAAAGGATTTATATGTGAATCACTTGGGTTGTAGCTCACTGGTGTGGTGCTTGCATGAGGCCATGAGTTCAATCCCCAGCATCATCAGGAGGGCAAAAGGAGAGGGAAACAGGTGAGGGGAATTATGATAAAAGTACTTTATGTCCATGTATGAAAACAGAATAATGAAATCTATTAAAATTGTAAAAAGGTGGGACTAAGAATAAGTAATAATGGGGCAAACCTGATCAAAGTACATTGCATGCATGTATGGAAATATCACAATGAAACCTTTGTGCAATCAATACATACTAATTAAAAATCAATAACAAGAAGAAAAAAAGGTACATCTCTAATAGAAAATTAACAAGGAACAAAAATGGATTATTCACAAAAGAAATATTATTAGCCAATAAACAAATGAAAAGTATTTCAACCTTAATACCTTAATTGCAGCCAAACAGAACGGCTATTCATTGATCAGATGATTGATAAAAACTACAAAGGATTAACAATTCTCAGTGTTGGCAGATAAGTGGAGGGAGGGGTATGCTTACACATGTGGGTGGAACAGTAATAAGTTCTTTAAAAAATCTGAGCAGTGTGTCCACAGCTGTAAAACAATTGGACTCTGATCCAGGAATTCCAAATCTACTTTTCCTAAGGAAATGTTCAGATGGAAGTGCAAGCATATACATAAACTGTTTAGAATAGCAAAAAATGGAGAAAATTGTTAAGCAATAGATGTTGGTTAAATAATGTGGACACTGGAATCATTAACAGTACTTTGATATCACTGTCATGAAATATTGTTCTGATATATTAATAAGTGGGAAAAGTAAGCTACAGAGCAGTATTAACAGACTGGTTTTATAACTGACATACTTATATATAAAGGTGTGGGAAATAGTGAAGGAGCATACTCATGAAAATATGATGCCAACATCTCTAAATGTGATTATTGATTTTTAAAATCAAATTAGACATTTTCTAACTTTTAGGACATTTTTCTGAGGATATGGACAGTTCAGGAAGTACATTAACTTATGTTCACAAACCACTGACCAAACTCAGCAACTTAATAGTCTCAAATGGTTGCTATTGTCTTGTTTTTAAATCTAGATATGGAATTCCTAGTCAAAAAATTTCTTCCTAGATTTATTAGCATGAGGCCCCTTAAGAACAGGAGCCTTGTTTTGTTTATCCTTGTCATCTCAGACTCTTATCTGGGACATAACTGACCAACTTCTGAGCTGAATTTAGTTTAACTGGAATAACCCAGCTGACTAATGCTAAGATTGGTTGCATAAGGTTGATAGGAATAAGAATGTGTTATTGAAGATCCCTGAACAGTTGGATCTCTGTATGTGAGTGACTGTGTATAGTTAGAGGTATCCAAATTTAATCAGACATTATTTGTCCTGTGTCAATCTCACTGGTACATTTTTTTCTCTCCCTGCTTTTCTCCCATCTTAGATCTGACACTTTATATGTCATATAATGCTGCCGATGCTTCTTAGCTAGCATTTTCCCCACAGAATCCTTTCTGCACACATATGTCTTAATAATCTTTCCAAACCACTATACTGATCATGGTATGCCACTAGTGTGCCAAAGGATCTAAGACTCACAAATGCCTTTTAGACACAGCCACGCCTCCTTAGCTTAACCAGTCTTTTCCACCAACACACATTTCAGACTTCAGTATGTTTTCAAAGAGGAATAATCCACTGAGGGCTGAAAACATGAGGGCCCAGTCTGCCTCCTTAGGCTTCTCCCTCATCACTCCTCTGGGATGAACCTTATGGTCCAGCTAAGTAAGGACCTATTCTGTGCAGTCTTAAAGAACCAGGACTGAGTTATTCAATAGGCATTTAAGTCAACACATATATCTCACCCACCTTTCATGGGCATGAAGAATGCTATATATCAATGAATTTTTTCTTAAAATAAGGAAGAACATTCTAATAGAGAAGTCTAGAGAAGAGCTAAGCTGATACAATTACTCACATGAAATTCAAAAACTGGATGGAGAATTGATGCTGATTATCTAAAGACTTTTCCAGTGCTAAAAATTTATCCTATATACAGTTACTCAAAGAGAACATGTGCTTTTCTCAATTTACATTTCTTCCTCTGCCTGGAAACCTTTCTTCCTTCTTTTCTTCATCTATTCAAATCCCACTCACATTTTAAGGTTCAGCTTAGGATTCAACTCCTCAGGAAGCCCCAGATCCTCTATAGTAGTGAGTATAATGTCCACAGAAAATTGATCTCATGTCTGCATTTTACTCATTTTGTGTCTACTAGATTGTTGGCTCTTTGAAGGTGTCATCATTTTTTAATCTTCCCATTTTGTTCATAGGGACATGATTAACAAATACCTGTGGGCAAAATGCCAACTAAAAGAATGTTCTATTTTCCTATATATTTAATTATGCATCATATATATACCAAACAGCAAGCACTGGACAAGCACCAGTGACTGGTTTAATTGTGCCATTCTAAGGAGCTCCACACTGGTCTTTGTTCTTTATACCTTGTAGATGGTCACTGACTTGGCAGGTTATCATCCATTTCCCAGAATTCTCAACTATCATTTCTGCCGTGAGGAAGGTAGCTGGGAACAGGTTGACAACATCAGCCCGATGCCCTCTGCTGATGAAGGTGTTACCATAAAAACAGATGGAATGGATGTCAATCTCATTCCCCATTCCAAACAGATGCCAGGACACAGATTCACCAACACACATTTCAGGCTCGGGAAAGTTTCCAAAAAGGAATCCACTGAGGGCTAAAAACAGAAACACACTAGTGGGCGATGACTCTCCTACAGAGGTGAACGGGACCAAAACATTGGTAATACTGGAAAACCAAAACAGATCATTGGTTATAATGTTTTTTGGAGACATTCTAGCTCTTAAAAAGTAGTATGGAAAGAAAGGAAATAAAGACTTTGACTTGTTTTGTTTTTTTTTTGAGACAAAAACACTCAGTAGAAGTAAAGGTCAAGCCAGACATGTTGCTACATACCTGTAATCCCAGCACTCAGGTGGTTGAGGCAGGAGGACCACAAGTTCCAGACGAGCCTTGGCTATACTACATAGTGAGAATCCCATCTCAAAAAAGCAAACAAACTAAACTAAAAGAAGGAGAGGGAGAAGGATGGGGAGGGAAAGGGGAAAGAGGAGGACAAAGGGGAAGAGAAGAGGGAGGAGGAGGAAAAAGAGGAGATTGGCACACACTGAGAACTGCATGTGAGCATAATTTTAAGGTCAGAAGAAGATCGAGTGCTGCTCACACTTCAGGATATCTCAGTCAGCTCCCATCCTATTCCTTTATTTGTATATCTACCATCCACACCAGAATCTGTGTTCCTCAGAACTGGAAACTGTCTTGCTCATCTAATGGCTATCAGGATCTAGCAGAAAAGCTGGAATATAGTATCCACTTAATTTAATGACAAAAGCATGCAGCAGAATGGTAAAAGAAAAGGTCTAATTTGAGGGCACTATGACAGATGTTTATATTTTGTTAATTTAAAAAGTAAAAAGATAAAGATAAAGCAGTTTTTACTAGATGTTGCCAGGACTCCTTCCCTTTCTTATGATTTCCTGACAATATTCAGGCTGACTCAGTAAAGATGATTCTGAGATAGGCAAGCAAAAAACGAATGAACTGGGAGGTTTACATTAAAGACTTCCTTTATGTCCACTAGAACTATCTAGGAAAAAAGTGGAAAGAGACCGCTTAATCCCCACATCCTAAAATGCTACATTAAACCCCACTCTGCAAAACTGGCACGCTGTTTTCTGTTTCAATTGTCAGTGTAACTGTAGAGATTTCACTATTTTGTACAGACGCAAGGTCTAGTGTACAACGGATGTTCAATAAGTGTTGTCGGTTTAAAGAATGTCTGGGAACACAACATAACAAACTCACAAGTATGTACTGAAACCCTACTCGTATAGTTTGGTATTACAACCTTGCACATCGTACTCAGTTTGGCTTGTCCTCTCTCAGATTTGTTTAGGTTCCAGCATGTGTTATGCTTTATTTATACCATTTTCAAACCACTGTTGTCACTAAGTTACACATCTTGCAAAACCAGGTTCAACATGCCTCCCTCATAGTACCTTATGCCATGGCATAAAAACATGGCACGTATTTGAGAGCATGAGAGATACTCACCATGCATTTTGTTGCTTCTCTGGAATACAGCATCATCTTTGCCTACTGAATCTGGGTCAGTGCAGAAATGTCTGCTATTTTCATCAAGGTACCAGCTTTGATTCTCATCCACGAGAGTAAACATTATAATGAATTCTCTATCCACATCAGTCCTTGTCCCTGAATATCTGTTCAGCTTATCTATTGGGCACATTCAAGAGACTAGATTAAAAAGTTCAAGGTGAACTAAATCAAAGTGATCTTTCCTTTCTGCCAATGATGTTGGGTAGGCCTGAAATTTGTCAAGAACACATATATAGACAACCCGTAACTCACAATATAAAACAGCAAAGGGCTTTGATGGAAATGACAGAACTATCGAAAAGCAAAGTCATAAAACAGAAATTTTCACAAGTGCAGACCTGGAAAACCTGGCCATTCCTCAAGGGAGTAGATTTTATTGACAGCACAGACACACTAAATCAGTTAAAAGCGAGTAAAAAGAAACTAATTAGGTAAAATAATGAAGCAAAAGCAATCCCTAATAATTTTACTAAAATTTTCACTTTCCTACATATAGTGTTAAGGAATGCTATGTTATAAAACATAAATCATGTATGTTTCAGAATGCTGGTATGATTCTTAAACAAAATGTGAATTATTAACCCCCCAATATGGTGTCAGATTGATACCACATTACAAGAACTTTCCTTTTTTTTATTGTTTTATTATTCATATGGGCATACAAGGCTTGGGTCATTTCTCCCCCTGCCCCTACCCCCTCCCTTACCCTCACTCTGCCCCTCCCTCTCCCCTAACTTTCCTAATCCTAAAGAAAGTTTAGAGGACACATATTCTGTATGGAGTATGGAACGAAGGAAGGAAACACACTACACACTAGTTACCTGAGAATAGACTCTTGAGGACTGGGAGTTGCCTTACCTTCCTTACACACCAGCAAGGGTCCAATTAGCCCAGGGGCATCGATGTGTGAATGGTATACCCAGGTCAGGCAGTTGGCATCTGCAGGAGCAGGTGCATATTCCTCTCTCACTGGCCAGACGTAGGTATAGTTTTTGCCAGGAGGAACCATGTCATCATCCTTGTTCCTGCCAGATGTTCCATCTGGGTATAAGGCTCCTTCTAAGAAAAAATAAAATATAATTAAAACACTGAGATCTCATGCTACAGTGGAGAAATCAAAAGTTTCAGAGTCAAACATTAATGAATGTAAGTGTACTTTGCTGTGGGACTCAAGGCAAAGTTACTTGAAATGTCCTGTTTCCCATAATTAAAACTGGAATGTTGATATCTACCCCACAGGGACATGAGAACTGAATGAGGCAATGTATATAGAGTGATTCACACAGAAACAAGGTCTTTTTTCCCCATTCAGTGACAGAATCAGGTTCTGAAGTTCTCATAATAAAGGCTCTTTCTGATGAGCTGACTACACAAATCAAGAGACTTTCAATTCACCTTACTTGACATTATCTCAAGAAGGGAGAAAGAAACTGCAGAAGAATAACAAGCACTTCTTGGGGACTCATTAAACTTTCAGCACCTATGTGGATCTCATCAGAGATAGACAGGAAAGTTAAGGCATTCTTCCTGCTTCCAGGGGATTTTAAAGTTCTGTGGAGGCGGACCATGGTATGCATTATGAATACATGGGAGGACAGAAGAATAAAGCATAGTGGTTTGTGGAATGTAATTTTGGGTCAAGATATAAGGGATATCCAAGAGGAGACGTGTACTGTGCAAGGTGGAAAGTCTACCACAGAGTGGGTAGGGAAAGTGGGCAGAGCACTCCCACAGTCTCTTTCATAACCTAAGAGTCTTATGCAAGGTTTTTCAATTAAGAAAAATTACTGCTAGAAATAGCGTGAAAAACACCTAAATAGAAGGCAGGTGACCAATCTGTGCACATTATAATTATAAGAAGCTTCAAAATGGAAGTAGGATTTGAGGGTTCTCAAAGACTGGGGAAGAGTTACACTTAATAAAAAGAAGGCAAAAGGGACTAGAGGGAGGTGATCATGGATGCACTCCAGGTCCATTCACCATTCATTCTCTCTCACATTTGCCACTCATTCATTCATTCGACAGCATGAATTGAATATAGGACCCATGCTAATGAATGAGGTAGGCATTAGGAATACAAAATCAAATAAGACAGTAAGTGTCAGGGTAGCTGAGGTAAGCCTAAGAGAAGATATGACCAAAAATCTAAAATCACCTTTTTAACAAATTCTACTCTGAAAACATAATTTGATGATTGGAGAAGGATTTCAGAAGAAAACAATAGTTAAGTTACTACCATCTGCCAAGTATAGTGGTCATTTTGTATAGATTACCACATTTACTCTTTAAAGCAACTCAATATGGTAGGTATTAATATTCAATTCACAGAATAACAGGCTAGCATGTGGCTGAGCCAGATTAGAATCTATTTATGCCTGACTTATCTTCAAAATTATTGAGAATAGAGTGTATGGACCATTTGTATACTCGTTGACCTAACTTACTTCTTTTAGATATTAACTTTTAATAACTTTTATTCAAAAAAGAATATAAGTAATTTCCCACATTAAGCTCACATGCTACATAATACCTCAAGTAAGAAATACCAGTATAAAGTCAGAGAAAACATAAATATAAGAGACAGGAATCATTTCAATGATTAAATCCCTTCTATATTAACTGTAGCTCTGAATTTCTGGTAATATTTAGGTTATATTGTTAGATATAAGGTTAATATTTACTAAGTTAATATAATTGGGTTAATAGTTTCTTAGACCATAAAAATAAACTTACCAATTCCTTGAGAGGAACTTTTTGCTAATGCTAAGTTCTAAGAGTATTTTCAAGAATATTATTATATACACGTTATTTAATACTATGATTTATGTATTCAATGCTTTTGAGAATTTCTAAAAATGCAAAAGCATTCTTCTAAAAATATTTTGACATTGTCTCTGAATACAAGGTGAGAATATTTTTACTCAAAATTAAACTAATACTGGTTTTGCTGCTTTCTAACTTGATAAATGATGTTACTTGATAGAGGAAAACAAAGGAGAAATCCAGAAGGCTACCTTCTATCTGTTAAATTCAAACAACATTTTTTTAAAAAATCCTTATGCTATCTGAACTCTAGCAGCATTTAATATTTTAAATTCCCTCTGTCCCTAAATAATTCCTGTGACATCTCCCTGTCCTCTGGGCCACTCTTCTGCAGTTTGGTTTTCTAGTTCTTTCTCCGCCATCTGCTGTCCATTATAAGAAATCCTCAAGGTAACAATGTTGACTCCTTCCTTCCATGCCCAGTGCCTCCTTCCTGCTTGACGGCACAGTCACGACAGTGTCACCAATCAGTCTCACACCCATGGCTCCCACTTTTATCTTCACCCTCCTCTCTGAGCTTTGCTGATACCTGTCTTTTTGCATTTACACTTGGAAATACCAAATGATTTGAAATGCCACCTTTTCCAGGAGCATTACCTATCTCTCCTCTACCAAGCCCGGTCCTCAACCACTGTCTCCTCTCTAGCTAAAAGGCACCACCAGTATGCAATGCCACAGTCAGCAATAAAGACAAAATTCTTATCTTCCTCCTCTTCTTCCTTCCCAATTTCCACACCACCAAAAGCCCTGTTCTTGCTTTTCCTCAAATTCATCCATTTCTGTCCATCACCACATAGACCACGTCTTGCTTCTTCTCAAATTCTTCCATTTCTGTCCATTACCACCATCTTAGCCCTCATCCAAACCGCAATCATCTCTCACATGAGCTTTCTCAGTAACCTCCCAGCTAGCTTCCCTGCTTCTCTTGCCTCTCTGATCCATTTTCCACCAAAAGTTATCCTTTCAAATCTCAAATCCAATTTTATTTTTCCCTATTAAAATCATTCCATGGCTTCTCATCAGTGTAGAGATGAAAGTCAAAAGTATTTAATGTGGATTTCAACATGCAACAGCAGCTGACTCAAGCAATCTTGAACTCCCTGGACTAGATCAGTTTTCTAAATTTCATTCCCACAGAGAGAAGGGCATCGGTCAATAGTCACACTCACAACCACTGAAATTAGACTGCCTAGAATCAAATCCTATCTCATTGCTTATTGGCAAGGTTACCTGACAATTTCCTTCTTTTCTACGAGTCTTAGCTTCTTATGTATAAGATTATGATAATTACAATATCTACCTCATAGATTTGTGAAGACTTATATGATATAGTATCTATAAAGCACTGTCACAGTGCCTGGAATATAGTAACAATTCAATAAACATTGCCTATTATTTACTGATAGCATTGCCTTAAGTATTTAATTATATATGAAATTTTTAACTACATACACACACATATATATAGGCACACACCTATATATCGTGTATGTAATTACTTGATCAATTTACATCTCCTGTGTTGGTCAAGTTCCATGAAAGCAAGTACCAAGTGTCCTCATGCTCATAATTGTACCCATAGAATCTACCTTGGTGCCTGGTACAGGGGTACTCAATATACATCTGTTGAATAAAATAATAAATGAGTCATTATCTTGTACTATCCTTCTTCATAGCCCAGTGAATAAATGTATGACTTGGAAGCTTCTGAATAGATAGATAGATAGATAGATAGATAGAAAGAATGACAGATGATAGATAGATAGATAGATAGATAGAGATAGAGGCTGAGGACTGGGAATTAGGGGACTTGACTTGAAGCTTCAACTGATAGAACTCATTTTACTACTTTCATTATATAATAGAAATCAATACAAATAGCAGTTGTTCTGGAGATTTTTTACTGACTTGGCTTTGGAAATCATTGATAGTTATTGTTGAAATGAGCCCCATACAAATTCTTGGTACTGTTTTTCAAGATGAAGAATATCATTTGAGAATATTAAGAAAAAGTGATTTGGGGTAGATAGCTTATTAAGTTATGAAAGCTATTCCAAGAAAGAAGTTTGATGAAGGTGTTAAACAATAGTAACTTTAGAAATCTAAGACGATAAGGCACTATTCAGTGGTTGTATATGTTCCAGGATATGTGAGCTTTTAAGAATTGTAATATACAAGGCTGTGGATGTCGTCAATGGTAATGTGCTTGCCTAGTACACCCAGGCCCTGAATTTGATCCCCAGCACACACACACACACACACACACACACACACACAAATAGTAAGTAAAAATTTCTACCCATCAGATTTGAGAATTTTGAGCATTTAATGGTTTGGGAAGAAATAAGCTGACTCACAAACAAATGACAGAAGAGTAAGATATGCAAAATTTTTAAGGACAACTTGTCAATTCCTATTCAAAAAAGGTATATGAAATAACCAGAAATGTTACTCTTAAGAATTTGTGTGATACCACTTTTAAATTCTTGCATTTTAGTCAGAAACTACCATTTTTATGGATGTTAGCAGTTTGTTGACCTGATATTTGTGAATGGTCTGTTTGGGAAGGTAAAATTATGTAATGCAGTTCTCAAAACAGGAGCACTGTTAATAAAAAAATTCCTTTTCTCTCTTTTTTTAACTGTATGATGTTCCTCAAATTAATGGCAATTTACGGCAAATTAATGCCACTGAATTTCCAAAGTGTACCATTTTTTACTATGCTTTAAATAAATAGAAAAATAATTCTGCTACTGATCTTCAATTTTGCCATTCATGCTTCTATATTCCACTCAAGATTCCACTTTGCAAGTGTGAGAGTGTCTAGGTTTTGAATGTCACATGCCATTTCTGGAAAATGTATATGGAAGCTAACTATTGCTTTGTACAAATGATGACCCCCTTGTTTTAAGAAGAAATGCATCTAGGAACAGTTGTTTGGCAATGTAGGAAGCAAGCACTAGCTTGCTTTTTATTGGCATTTTTAAAATGGTTAATGTAAGCAAAGCTGAACTGTAAATCTTCATTCAGGGATATGTATTAAGATTATGGAAGGTATATAAACTATTGCTGGCGAGAAAGTGGGTTTCATTAGGTTAATCTTCTATGACTCTATGATCCACTCTTTCCTTGAAGGATTTTGAAAAGTGGAAATATCAGTTTGTTGCATTTCCCCTGTTGTTTTTAAAAGAACAAATCCCAAGCCCTACAAATGGCTTGTACTGGACTTTTATGAT